ATTCCGGCCACGTGGGAGTACGCGTTCGATGCCGGATCCACGATAAATCCTTTTCTTTCCTCGCGCTGCCCACCCTTCCGTCTTCTTCTCTCTTTCTCCAACCCCGTTCCACCCTTCGTACTTTTTGTTTTGCTCCACTGTATCCGCCAGAGCTGCGACTGCCGGTTTCCGGTCTGGAATTTCCGGCTTAGCTTAAGAGCTAATAGCACAGCTAGGAAAGCTACGCTTTTCCCCTGCTACGACTGATCTATCTCCCGATCCTTTCCCTCCCGATCCCTTCATGGTTAATCGTTCTCCCGACGCAATTAATTCCCATCTTCGACCAGCGATTTTCACACCAGCTGGACAGACGCGAGTGGTCGTCGGTGTATGACAGCTCGATCGCAGAGATCGAAATTGAGAAGAACGGAAAAATTTTCGCGTCCAGTCTTAACGAGTCGAGGAGTTTGAGGTCGCTCGGCGAACTAGAAGTAATTAACGACTTTCAGGTGGATCTGAAGCTTGAGAATTTTTATGCCACTCGAATCTATCAACGAGAGTGGGCCGGTATTAATTCGTCAATCGAAAAATTCATTTTTCCCAAATTTTTGTATACGTTTGTAAATCTCTAGTGTCCTTTTCACAGAATTTACATGAAATATTTAATTGTACCAATAAAAGAAAGATATTAAAAACAATAATCGAATAAATAATCGAATATCAAAATTAAATAATAACAATTAAATACAAATACAAAGGAAAATATATATATTTATTTGAATAGGAATATCCCCATTTTGGGATTCCGATGCCACGAAATTTGTGTGAAAATATCGTACGAAGACAGTTGATCAAAAACACTGATTCTGCGCGATTTCTAATGATTTTTAAGACGAGGATCCCCTCTGTACGTACCCTCTATAAATATTGAATTTGATTTCTTCGAAGACAAGAAGACACTGTGAGTCCTTGCTGGATATGATTCATTAATTACCATGAATTATTCGTTACTTTCCACTTAATTGTACGATTCGTTTCTATTTTGGATCACGAATGAACAGAGACCCGTTCAAGGATAAAGGAAACAAGGGATACGGGAAAGGCGAGCCGAAAGTGGATAGAGGCCAAGGTTTAGCTGAATATTCCAATGCAACGGACGATCAATAAATAGACGCAATTTCTAGGAAGCTATCCTGTGGGAACACCCATATCCTATCCAATCCTTCCTATCCATTACCGATTTCTATTCAAAACGGCGTCGGCGAAACTACCTACCCCCCGACAGCATAGCCCGAATGCACACGTGGCTGTTGTGTATCTGTCATTAGCGAATGCTAATGTCATTGTCACGTCCGACGTTGATCACACCGACGGCCAAATCTCGTCTTCTGTCGGTGGTAAAACGATACCGACCTCGATACCGTGTAATTTAATCACAATCGTGAATTGAACTGATAGGTAACGATATAATTAATGAAACGCGAGGCAATGCGAATATACAGAAATTCGTTGGAGATTAGAACGAAATTTATTCCACTACATAGATTTTCGACAGCTTCCTCGAAGAAAATGCAACAACCAGTGTCTTTTCGCATATTAAATTACACGCGACTTTGCCGTGGATCTCCTCTATGTACACAACCATACAATCATATTCGAACCTTCTTTTCACATTTGCCAATTTCTCTCGTCCCGAAGAAGCCTTCAGAATTCGCCTCTGACTTCGGTGACCACGCGAGAACTCGAGAATGAGGCCTAAAAACAGGAAAAATATTTGTAGGAATGCTAAGGTTTGAGAGTGAATGCAAAGGAACACTTGGACCTACCTAACTGATAATGGGCAATAAACAGCAGCCTAGGGTTCAAGCTGAATGTTTAAAGTGACGTCTGAAGTACACGTGGAAGGACGAGTGACCACCTGCAAGGATGGGATGAACGGGATATTTATGACTGTGTGAAGAGCTAAAGGCGTCTGAGTGTTTAGGGTACGTGATCCACCGAGAGCGAGGCTATGAGAAATGAGTGATTGAGAAAGAGAGTGTAAGGTTTAAACGAGGGTGCAAGTACTGTCCTAAGACAGTCTTTTACCGAGTTTGAAGAAGAGTTGACGTGAAAATGTTAATTGCGTGATCATAGTTCAGTTATTAGTCTAGTCTTTTAGTTTGTATTCCTCATATTTGCCAATCAAAAGTATCCCTACATATTTTCTCTCTGTCGCCATCCTCCTCTCCAATCAGCCCAACAGCCCTAATCGATCCCGAAGCACCCAACGTTCTCCAGCCAGGAGGTTCCTTCCCGATCAAGAGTCATTCGTCCCATAGACACGCCTGGACGTGGACAAATAGCATCTGCAAGGCGGCTGGATCTTCCTGCAAGATCTCCGATTCGGCTGATTCTTTTCTCCACCGGTGATTACCGGCGCGATAGTGTCCTCCTGCTGGCTCCACACCGTATTGTGCCAGCGATCCTGCTCATCCGTTTCCGTGAATCTCTCGACTGTCGCCGGTCTGTCGACCTGTTTCGCCACAAAGTGATCCAACGGATTAAGATACTCAATTTCCATCTTCCTCGAGTTCAACTGCGGCTCGCTGTCCTCTCTCAGGAAATCGAACAGACCGGCCAGGCGCACACCCATGTCCGTGTTTGAGTCCAACTGATTCAGCTGCATCGAGTTCAACACCACCTCTCCTGGCGGGTACCTGTCACCGTAACGATTCCTTAGGCACGCTTTGAACGTCTCAAAACGGTACGAACTGTAATTCCACGTGATGTCCACGACAGGTAGCTTCTGGTCGGTCTTCACGAACGTCGACGAGGACTTCGCAGCCGCGATCCGAGGTTCCTCCGGATTCTTCTCTTGTGTTATGGCCGTCCTGTCCCCGATCGATATGGTCTGCTTCGGTGTTACCAGCGAAGACGAGGTAGTTCTCAGGTTGGTCAACGATATCTTTGAATCGGAACTGACGGCGTTGGATACCGGCGACTCTTTGGGATAGCGTTGCAGCATGTCAGGAGAAGAGGCTTCATTGCAGTCTTCCGTGCTCGCGTAGTAATGGAAAATCGTGCATAGCTTCTTCGGATCTGCCTGTGATGAAGATAGACAGTTTATTCGTGTTATTCGAACCTTGCGATTTTGTGTCTAGCTTTATGAACGATGAATGATCTGAGGATGAGGGACAATGTTGATAACTGGTAAATCCGAAACATGGATTTTTGGTCCTGGCTGACAGACACGTTTTTGATATATTCGCTGTATATTTTTATAGTTTTAGACTGCACGAGTCACGAAGTTTCAGAAGATCGAGGGGAATATCTTGAAACATACAATCCATGTGCTCGGGAAAGCGTTTCTATCCGATAGTGCGCGTGTTTGGTATTTATATGGAACGGATGATTGTTTCATATTCCCAAGAATTTCGCAATCAATGTAGCAGGTGCTCCTTATGTGCTGAAGAAATAGTTGGAATCTTTGATACCTGTGCAGGTGTAATTTTAAATTGACTGTTATAGAGATGCAAAGCTAAGAAACGATCATTGCTCGTTGCTTCCTTGTAACAATAATTTTGTAGTTTCTTAATTTATTATTCGTTAATTATTTTGGATTCGTTAAAACCTATAAAAACCTTATTTGCCATTGGCAGCCAAGACCAAAATTAGCCATACCCTACTGTCCTCCGTTGTTCAAATCGAATATAACCTATTCTAATCGGAGACTGATCAAATTTCGTTCACAGATTTATGAAAAAAGGACTGTCTACAGGAAATACACACGATTAACATTTGAATCTGAATGATAAGAGGAGCTGCAAGAATTAAGGTGACGAACAGGGCCCAGATGCTGTCCATGATGAAACTGGAAAATGGTCTCGTTCTCTACGAAGAGGCTAACAACTCGACCGATTTCTCTGGTCGGTACGTCTTCGTCGCTTCCTGGTTCGCGATGTCTGTGGCATGCATTATGAGTTACCCTTTCCTTTCCTCCTTTCAATTTTAATTACACAAAATCCGTGGAACGCATAATGCCATCCGACACCTCGACGGATCAATTTTGACGACGCGATACGAGACAAAAGAATCTGTCATTTGTTTATGGAAATTCGTTCCATATGAATGGAATCGAAACGAACAATTTTATAACCGATTTTGAACGATTTTCGGAACGTCTCGTTGACGTTTGTAAATTTAATACGTGTCCATGGCGGAATTTCGTTTCACATAAAAATAAATCGATAACCAAATGAACGTTTAAAAATAAAAAATAGAAGGAGACAGAGCGAAAGAGAAAGATAGAGAGAGAGAGAGAGAGAAGAGGTGAAAAGAGGTAGCCTCATTACGGCTGGAGAACGTGAGACAAGTGGTAACTCGCGTTGATATAATATTTCATTGAAAATACAGGACTAATAGGGATATATTCTGGTAATATTGAAAAGTGGTGATCAGATAGATCTTGTTGCCAATTCGACACGTTTTAATACTGCTTTAAGGGATTAAAGTTTGAAAAGAAAAAGCTCGCATGCAGTGGCAAGCAGCGTGTTTATTTCGTGAAAAAACGTACCTACCGATGTCGAGTATCCTTTGATTCGATCAAACAGAATTTTTGCGGAGTGGAAAGCCACGAAACATAAAGCAACGTAAAGCTATCAGAAGCAAGGTTTCAGCGATGGAAAAGGCAGCAATTAAAGATGTCAAACGGTAAAAGGTGCAGCGTGAGAAACACGAGAAAGCATCCAAACACAAGTGAAAACCTCGATAGTTAAAAAATATGTACTAGAAGAAGAACCCTGAGAGATACCTACTGAGAATCTGAGAATAGATAAAAGAACCGTTCAGATTCCGAATGAAGGGATATCGTGAGGGATTAAATAAGCGGAAAGCACTGTGTCGGATTTTGTCAGAGTTTCTTATCTACAAGAGGGGCTGCGCCGAGAAAACCGCATTGCTCTTCGGACAATGATCTGAATAGCACTCTGGTCGCCAACGAACTGCTTGCACTTTTGCCAACGCGTCCGGGAGTCATGGGGGGTGGTCGTGAAGACATAAACCAGGCCCCCATTGACTCAGGACTCACGACTAATCAAGATCCGCGAAACTTCGAACTATTCAACTCTCAGAGCCAAATTTCGAATCCTCAAGCTCCCTACAGTGCTGATCCAAGGCTCCATGTCGAAAACCGCAGGAGTGTCGACAGATTTTAGGATGCGAGATCCGATACCTCGGGTTTGGAGTCATGAAGTTCAAAATCCCGCGGTCTAGAGATGTCTCGAAGCGGATCCTGCAGTCTCGAGATCACGGTATAAATTACTGCACGTTGATATTATACAGTCTTGGCTTGGTTCGAGGACGGCCCTACGGTTTCGGGTTGTTCCACGGTAGTTTCACTAGTCCGAAACGGAGCCAAAGAGTTCCGACCGAAACCGTCATGACTCTCAAATAACTCGAGGTGAATTTTATCGCTATAGACCAATAGCGACGTTGGCCTGTCTTTATCAGCTAAGTCTTTTCAGTGACTAAAAGTCATCCAACATTACGATAAAATTTTAGGCTATCTAAGAAAAGGAGGAAATATATATGTATACATGTAGGATGTCTATAACTGCCGTGTGGCTATATGTATCGACTATTTCGAGTACTATCATACCGTGTAAAACTAGTTAATTTAATCCCTTCGCTAGAGTGGGCGTCGCCATGGAGTCCCTCCCGTAGTATGCGTCCGCAGTTCTTTAGCATTCGGGCCCAAGTTTTTTGAAAACAAAAGAAAAAGAAAAACCGATCATCAATATACTGTTGAAATAAACAGGCACGTGCAACTGTAAAAAATTATTGGACTCATAGAATATCACCAGCGTAAAACCATGAGATGTCAAGAATTATTATTTTTATTATTTATATTTATTATTATTAGCAAGAAAAAATTGAAGCAGCAATACAAATATGTAAGTTATAATATGTCTATTGGATTCTAGGCTGGCTAACCATATGACATACAAGATAGAAATATTCTATGGTCAAATAAATATTCAGAAAAGGGAGATGGTTTAGGCAGACAAAAGGGCATAAAATTTATTTAAGTGATGTCCTCTTATAAGAACAGGATATAGAGAATACAATGAGATTAAAAGGTATATCATATTCCTGATCTGAATAAATATTAATATCAGTGGTCAAAGTCACTGGTCATTACTAATCTGTTAAGTTTCAGATTGATGGAGCTGAGGTACATAAAGAAAAGAAAAAAGTTCTAATGAAAGCAGTGAGAAAAGGAAATGTATAATACGTAGAATCAAGAAACAGAAAAGAGGCAGCATATGTATCAACAGAGAAAGATGTGTGGCATCGACATGTAAAAATAAGGATCATTGAAGAGATGGAGAATGAAGAATTGGTAATAGTTCTGAAAGGTAAAGGCAAATTGAATATAGAGTGTGAATGTTTGCTTTAAGGCAAAAATCTGTAAAAACACACATAGGAACTTGGAAAGTATAAAAACAGAAGGAATAATGGGGCTGTGACATATGAATTTGATTGAACCAGTTAAGCCAATGTTAAAAAGAGGTAAAAGGTACCACTTATCTATTGATGATTATTGGAGATTGATTATTGGCCTTCCTTTTATAGGAAAAGTGTCAGACAGCTGAGGAAATAAAAATATTAGTAACATTTGAAGAAAATTAATCTGTGAAGAAGCTGAAAAGTATTTATATGCTTAAACAATAGAAGTGAGTTTGTCAGACAAGACCTTCAAGTTTGTTTAAATCAAAAGGTAATAAAACATCATTTCAGTCCAGTAAGGACACCGCAGTATGATGGGGCTGCTGAGAGGAAGAAAAATCCACCATAATTTAATGAATATTGAGAATTATTAGGGAAATTCATGTATTTGAATACCTATGTCTTGCCAGACATCTCATTTGCAATAGGATGTTTGTTATAGTTTAACCGTGATCTTAAAATGATGGACATGAATAGATTGAAGGGAATATTAAGATATTTGAGGGTGTGTATTGCCTTGAATTTGAAAAAGGAATAGAAAGCAATGAAATGTGTTGTGCGGATATATAGACTGATATGTGAAGTTCTCCTGAAAAAGGAAGTGAGAAAGATTGTGATGTGTAACAGATTGAATGCAATACATGTAGAAAATTAAATCTAAGATCCTACATAGAAAAATGTTGTTATATAGGAGATGTAGTAAAAACTAAGAACTTACAAATTTGTTACGTACCAAATAAAGAAACAAATGCTGATTGTCTAACTAAACCACTGAATGGCCCAAATTTGTTAAAGAATGTAAAATACTTTATGGGAGTGTTAAGAGAATAAAAAGAAGAGAGGAGAATGTGTGATAGTTATTTATATTGTTTTATTGTTTTATTTCTCCCACCCAACATGGCATAGGTTAGGTAAACTCTTTTATTAAAAGTACTATTTAATCAATCTCAATTTTAATAATAACATTTCACGTTTGTCATAAATATACTTGAAACTGAACATAAAACTATCTTATTAGTAATGGGAAGAATATTTGCAGCTTTATTATAACCGAGTGATACGTACTTTCTTTGGACAGGTCTGACTAAATGGTTTCGTTGAAGAAGTAATTTCAACCACTTATACATTAGTAACTAATGTTCCCAAGAAAACTTGTCAATAAAGGTGATCATAATGCTCATTTATAAAATTTTGTAACTAATATATATATTATGTATTACTATATATTATATTTTGTTATTAATTGTATAATTATTTTTATTAATTTATAATGTTTTTGCTGTGGAAACTAAGCATTTATTAATTTGTCATTTTCGTAAGAGAAACGTATTTATATTTGCATCATTAATATTAATAAATATAAGAAACGTTGTTTGATCTTCTACATGGATACTTTATCGTATAGCTATTTTAAAGATGTAACATTTTCCCGCTACAAAAATACCTAGCGTTTCCGGCTGCACCCAACTTCCAGTTGACGGCAAGCAAGCATACCGGTAACAACTGGTGGAATATTCC